TATAATAAACTGATAAACATAAGAGTGTTCCTGAGTTCTGTGAGCCATCCTACCAAATTCTTTTTTTATTGTTACTTTTTCAAATTTATTTTTAATTGGAGGCTAACAAATGACTGAACCGGAGGAGGAGTTTGTGGAAGTCCTGATTTATAGCTGGCTGGAGACTTGTAACTACCACCTGGGCAACAGTCTTATGGGACTGACCTCTCATGAAATAGATTATAAAACTTAGACCAGGTATACCTGGAACAAGAATTTAGTCTGTTGATAAAATGCAGTCGGGACTTCCCTGGTGGTCTAATGGTTAAGAATCCAACATGCAATGCGGGGGACACGGGTTCCATCCCTGGTCAGGGAGCTAAGATCCCGCATGCCCTGGAGCTATTAACCCCTGCACCACAACTATTGAAGCCCACATGCTCTGGAGCCCCTGCGTTGCAACTGGAGAGAGTCCACGCACTGCAAGGGAAGAGCCACATATCACAACAAAGATTCTGTGTGCTGCAACTAAGACCCGATGCAGCCAAATCAATAAATAAAATATTTAAAATAAATAGGTAAAAAAAAAAAAAACTTAGACCAATTCTGGCTTAAAAATTATCTCTAAAACTTTTATCAAAGGAGTATATGCACACAGTGGCTAAGACTCTGCTCCCAGTGCAGGGGGCCCAGGTTTGATCTCTGGCTTGAGTGCGAGATCCCACATGCTGCAATTAGGAGTCCATATGCTGTAACTAAGACCCATCGCAGCCAAATAAATATATAAATAAACATTAAAAAAAAATTCCCACAAAACTTGGGAGGCGTTGTTCATGGCCTTGCAGTGTTGCGGAGCCATCTGCTGCCAGTGGGATTCTTACTCCTTTATTGGAAGGATGACTGTACACCCTCATTTGTCTAGAACGCCTTCAAATTCATCTTAAAATAGTACATGCTTTTACTCTCCAAAGTATCCTTCTTTGCTGATTAATTATAGAATTACCTGATTTGTAAGTGACTTGGTGGTGGTATTTTGGAAGCTTTCTTACACCTGGTGGTCTGAGAATTCACAAGGAGGATCTGGAGTTCAGGTCTGTCCCCCCCCCTGCCCATTCATTTTAGCAGGCCCTTTCAGTTTGAAGACTAGTGTTCATCAGCTCTGGGATAGGTTATTGCAAAATGCTTCAGTAATTTCTGCCTCTTCATTCTCTTTGTTCTTTCTTTGTATAACGGTTAGTGGAACTTGGCCTTTGGGATTAATTTGACACCAGATTAAAAAAAAATCTTAACCTCCTGTTCTCTACCTCATTGCTTTTGCTTTCCTTTCTGGAAAAATATTCTCAGCTTCATTTTCTAGTATACCTATTGACTTTTATGTGTTACTCAGTTACAAGAACTTCTTTTGTCTTCTGTATGCCATCGTATTCTTGTTTCATTCATAAGATGGTCTCTCTTATCCCTTTGAGGAAATTAATTACATACATATATTTAAAGTGTTTCCTGTGTTTTCCTACTTCCATTTCATCCCTCTGCCCCTTTTTTTGTCTTCACCTCTTTCATTGTGATTTTCTGTCCCTCAAGTACCTGGTGATTTAGAGCTTTATCTTCTGTTCAAATGTTTGGTTCTGATATATCTTTGTGTTTCTAGTTTTTTCTTGTTAACAAATTCTTAACGTTGGGGTTAGATTTAACATTATGAGGCAGATTATGATTATGTTGTTCTGTTGCATAAAAATCTGAATGGCTCTTCAGAGACCTGAATAATGTCTAAACCATTTAGCATCTAGCATGGCACACAGGACGGTGGAGTGAGGTGCAGTGTTTGCTTCTCGGAACTGCTGTCATGCCACAAATTTGATAGCTTAAAACAATAGGGATTTATTCTCTGCTGCTGCTACTGCGAAGTCACGTCAGTCGTGTCCGACTCTGTGCGACCCCATGGACTGCAGCCTACCAGGCTCCTCTGTTCATGCGATTTTCCAGGCAAGAGTACTGGAATGGGGTGCCATTGCCTTCTCCGAATTTATTCTCTAATAGAGGCCAAAAGTTTGAGTCAGCGTTACTGGGCCGAAATCAAGGTGTTTCCAGGCCTGGGCGCCCCCCAGAGGCTCTGAGAGACGAATGAAGCTTGTCACTCTTGAGTGCCTGTGGCACCCCTCCAGGCTTCCAGGCCAGCGCCTTCATAGCCTTCATATCTCTGCTTTGTCTTGTCTTTGCTTTCACTGTGGCTGTCAAATCTACTGCCTCTGTCTCTCTCAAGGACACTGATGGCATTTGAGGCCCAGGAGTGTCTCATCTCAAATGCCTTACTTTAATAACACTGGCAAAGACCCCTTTTCCAAGTAAAGTAATGTTCACCGCTTCCGGGAATTAGGACCCTATACCTCGAGGTGGTTAATCAGCCTATGGCAGATACTTTTCTTAAATGGCCCTTTCCTTGAATACTTCTGCCTTTGCTGATACCATTACTGCCTGCAGTTTCTTCTCTTCTTGTCTCCAGTTCAGTTCAGTCCCTCAGTCGTGTCCGACTCTTTGTGACCCCATGGACTGAAGCATGCCAGCCTTCCCTGTCCATCACCAACTCCTGGAGTTTACTCAAACTCACGTCCATCGAGTCGGTGATGCCATCCAATCACCTCATCCTCTGTCATCCCCTTCTCCTCCCACCTTCAATCTTGCCCAGCATCAGGGTCTTTTCAAATGAGTCAGCTCTTTGCATCAGGTGGCCAAAGTATTGGAGTTTCAGCTTCAATGTCAGTCCTTGCAATGAATATTCAGGATTGGTTTCCTTCAGGATGGACTGGTTGGATCTCCTTGCAGTTCAAGGGACTATCAAGAGTTTCCTCCAACACCACAGTTCAAAAGCATCAGTTCTTCCGCGCTCATCTTTCTTTATAGTCCAACTCACATCCATACATGACTGCTGGAAAAACCATAGCCTTAACTAGATGGACCTTTGTTGGCAAAGTAATATCTCTGCTTTTTAATATGCTATTTAGGTTGGTCATAACTTTCCTTCCAAGGAGTGTCTTAATTTCAGGGCTGCAGTAAGCATATAAGTTAAATAAGCAGGGTGATAATATACAACCTTGACGGACTCCTTTTCCTATTTGGAACCAGTCTGTTCTAAGACCAGTTCTAACTGTTTCTTCTTGACCTGTATACAAGTTTCTCAAGAGGCAGGTCAGGTGGTCTGGTATTCCCATCTCTTTTAGAATTTTCCACAGTTTATTGTGATCCACACAGTCAAAAGTTTTGGCATAGTCAATAAAGCAGAAATAGATGTTTTTCTGGAACTCTCTTGCTTTTTCAATGATCCGGCGGATGTTGGCAATTTGATCTCTGGTTCCTCTGCCTTGGTGCTTCCTGCGTAGCTCAGTCAGTAAAGCATCTGCCTGCAGTGGGGGAGTCCTGCGTTCAATTCCTGGGTTGGGAATATCCCCTGGAGAAGGAAATGGCAACCCACTCCAGTATTCTTGCCTGGAGAATCCCAAGGACAAGAGGAGCCTGGTGAGCTACAGTTTGTGGGATTGTAAGAGTTGGACGCAACTTAGCTCTTTCTCTCTTTTCTTTCCTCTGCCTTTTCTAAAACCAGCTTGAACATCTGGAAGTTCACGGTTCACGCATTGTTGAAGCCTGTCTTGGAGAATTTTGAGCATTGCTTTGCTAGTGTGTGAGATGAGCGCAATTGTGCGGTAGTTTGAGCATTCTTTGGCATTGCTTTTCTTCAGAATTGGAATGAAAACTGACCTTTTCCAGTCCTGTGGCCACTGCTGAGTTTTCCAAATTTCCTGTTATATTGAGCATAGCACTTTCACAGCATCATCTTTTAGGATTTAAAATAGCTGACCTGGAATTCCATCACCTCCACTAGCTTTGTTGGTAGTGATGCTTTCTAAGGCCCACTTGACTTCACATTCCAGGATGTCTGGCTCTAGGTGAGTAATCACACCATCATAATTATCTGGGTCATGAAGATCTTTTTTGTACAAAAATGCATGGGTCAGTTAATCTTTGTTGAGGAGATTCAGCATTTATTGAGGGTCAGTTCAATTGTAGGACTTGTCATGTTAGAGTAATTAACAAAGCAAGGTAAAGTTAGTATGCACCTGTGTCAAAGCTTCTCCAGGGCACATTTCTCCGAAGGAATTTGCTAAGTCATAGGAATTTGCGTTTTTAGCTTTTGCTGCCAAATTGCTCTCCATAGTGGCTGCACTTCCCCCAGTAATGCCAAGAGCTGTCTTGTTTCCTGTGTCTTCACCAATACTTGTGCGTTTTTCATTTAAAAAAAAATCTGGTAGGGGAAAATTATACTGTGTTAATTTGTATTTCCTTGATGACTGGTGATGTTGACCATGTTTTTCATAGTTAATAGACATTTGGATTTTTTCCTGTGAATATGCATAGCCCATTTTTTTTCTAGTTAGTTGCCTTTTATTTATAGAAATCTACAAATGTGGGTATAAATTGTTCATAGTGTTATAGCTGTCCTTATATATGAGGAAACTTGCACAGAAATAAGTTAAATTGATAAGGCCCTCCCCCCTACCTCTATGGACAGATGGATAGATGAATGGTTAAATAAATGAACATGTCTAGAATCATACCTAATAAAAAACAGAGCAGAGATTTTAGACTGAGATTTATCTAATCTTAAGGCCTGTCTCTTTTAAAGTATATTTCGCTGTCTTGTAGGGAATGAGGAAATTAATAGTGAGGCAGTGCTGTGCTGAATTTTGACTCAAAATATTTAATCATTTGCTCTATTTAACTGTTAGCTGTACTTACTGGCTCTGTGAGTTTGGGCTGATGTTTGTTAATATATTTTTTAAAAAATAACTAATGACAGCTAACCTATCTGCTTTAAAAGTGACTAAGAAAACATTGAGATAGTATTAATAAATTACTGTATACACAGTGAAATACTATTATATATTTAATTCTTCTTGACCATTGTAACAATGAATGAAAATGTCAACATACTTTATAAAAAGTTTTGGATGTATCTTTTTTTAATATACCTTATTTTGACGAGTAATTTCAAGTTCACAACAAGACTGAGCAGAAGGTAGAGCGATTTCCCGTATATCCTCTGTCCTGCCATGTTGCACCGCCACCCCGTACTCATCGTCCTGCACCAGAGTGGCACATTATTACAGTCAGTGAACCTGTGCTGATGCATCACTGTCGATTTACGTTAGAGATCACTCTTGGTGGTGTGCTTCCCATTGATTTGGACAAGTATGTAATGCCGTTCTTCTACCATTGTAGTATCATACAGAGTAGTTCTACTGTCTGAAAATCCTCTCTGCTTTGTCTGTTCATCCCTCCTTCATCCCTAGCCTGTGGCCACCTTCTGGTCTCAATAGGCCCAATCTGTCTCAATAGCTTTGCTTTCTCCAGAATGTCATAAAGTCATATGTATAGTATGTAACCTTTTAGACTGACTTCTTTCACTCAGCAATCTGCATTTGAGTTTCCTCCATGTTTCTTGGCTTAATGACTCATTTCTTTTTAGTGCTGGATCATATTCCATTGCCTGGATGTAGCAGTTGTACCTTCACTTGCTGAAGGACATTTTGGTTACTTTGAAGTTGGGGCATTTACAAAGCTGCCATAAACAGTTGTGTGCAGCTCTTTTTTGTCTAGGCATACATTTTTCAACTCTTAATATCATTTGCCGGATCACATGGTAAGAGTATGTTGAGTTTTGTAAGAAACTGCCAAACTGTCATCCAAAGTGACTCTCCCATTTTGCATCCCCACCAGTGTTGAAGGAGAGTTCCTATTGTTGTGCATTCTTGTAGCATTCAGTGATAGTAGTATTTTGGATTTTCATTACACTAATAGTTATGTAGTAGTATATATAATATTATATATTATATAATAACTTTTTTGGTAAAAGTGTACATGATAAAATGTCATTTGCTAGTATAATAGAAGATGATTCCAGAAAAGCTCAGCAGAAATTTTTCTGTGAGGTTTGGAGGTAGAAATATCTCCAGGAAAAGGTTGATTTTGGCTCTCAGATGAACTGGATGAGGAGTGGTAATGCTTGCCTTCATGTGTTTGTTTTAACAGGTATTGAAACAAAGGCACATATCTTGAAGGCGCTAGCACCTCCTACCATTGTCAACTGGTAAAATGTTTAATTTTTTCAACTATAAAATTTCTGTTAGGTGTAAAGTGTATTAAGTTAAAACCAAATGTGGGTAAATTATCAGAAAGAAATATTTTCTATTTTGTGATTGTAGAATTATGAAAGCTATGAGACAGTAGCTTTGATATTCAGCAGTACTGTTTAACCTGCCTTTCCTTAATTTGAATTTCATTAAGTATCTGTAAGAATTTGAACTTAGTGTCCTTTTAATTTTTCAAAGTTCAGCACTATTTAGACAGTAGTAACATTTCAACATGTGCTGGTCCTTTGAAATTTGTGCTTATTTAAAATTTTTAACTGGATGTTTGAACAGAAATTGTAGGTTGAAGGCTAGGAAAATGGCTATCTATCTATATACACTAATGTATAGCAAGAGCTGCCTGTTAAATAGTTGTCATGGAGTAAAATATAGCATAATTTTATTCTTTCCTTGCTGTGACTTCTGAAGTGTGTTACAGTTTGTGAAGTTTTGGGGCAAGAATTTCAAGATCAAGTGTCTGGAAGTTTTTAGTATTTTGAGAAATGAAAATAAAATTGGATAGAACTGTTACAAGGAAGAGTCTAGTGGTCAAATGCTTTGAGACTGTAAAAACAATAAATGTTTTATCTATTAGAATCATGGTTATTGACAGTTAGCTTCTATTTCAGAAGATCAGTTCAGAATCTTTGCTCACATCTGTTGTGTTCACTGATTTTACACTACTGATTTTTAACAAATTACACAAATAGTGTTCATTATTAAAAACTATACACAGTATGAAAGTGAAAAGTGAAGTCGCTCAGTTATGTCTGACTCTTTGAGACCCCATGGACTGTAGCCTACCAGGTTCTTCCATCCATGGGATTTTCCAGGCAAGAGTACTGGAGTGGGTTGTCATTTCCTTCTCCAGGGGATCTTCCTGACCCAAGGATCGAACCCGGGTCTCCTGCATTGCAGGCAGATGCTTTACTGTGTGGGCCACCGGGGAAGCCCCTCTACACAGTGTAAGAGTGTGTAAGTAAAAGGGAAACTTCCCTGATTCTGTTTTTTTTTAGTTGTACAGTTGCTTTACAATGTTTTAGTTTCTGCTGTAGAGCAGGGCGGATCAGCTATGTGTGTGTATACATCCCCTTTTTATTGTATTTCCTTCCCATTTACCCTATTCCCTGAGTCTTTTGCTCGAGTTACCCTTACCAATCTGGAGTGTGTCCTTCCAGACTTCTTAACATGCATGTCCAAGAGTGCTGTCCTTTAATGAAGCAAGTGTGATGGGAAAGAACTATACCTTGCCCATTGGTGTGCCTTCACTTTACTTCAGACAGTTCTTTGCTTCCATCTTCTTAAGCAATATACTTGGCTAAATGAGGAATGTTTAGAAGTGACCAAATATATTAGAGCATAGTATTTTCTCTGTAGATTTCTTTCAGTAACAATAAAAGGGAAATTTTTTGGAAACCCCAAATTTTAAATTTGTAGCTAAGAATAGATCAATGGAGTTCAGATTTATATTGAAATTGCAGAGTTAATTTACTGTGTATTGAATAATAGGTATTAAATAGTAAAGCACTTATATAAATGACTACAGTTAGTATTGCCTTTATTGAGAGTCAGCTAGATCAGGATACAGAAAGAAGTGATTTGGGAATTTTAGTTCATCTCCTTAGGGTGGAGGAGAAACAAGTGCTATGGCAAAGTGACAGAGGTAACTGTCTCATAAGTTTGTCTAGATTTGATCAGGTACCCAAGAAAGGGAAAGGAAATCCATTGTTCACATAGGTTAATTGTTCAGTCACTCAGTTGTGTCCTCCTCTTTGCGACCCCAAGGACTGCAGCACGCCAGGCTTCCCTGTCCATCACCAACTCCTGGAGCTTGCTCAAACTCATGTCCATAGAGTTGGTGATGCCATCCAACCATCTCATCCTGTGTTGTCCCCTTCTCCTGCTGCCCTCAATCTTTACCAGCATCAGGGTCTTTTCAAATGAGTCCGTTCTTCACATCAGGTAGCCAAAGTATTGGAGTTTCAGCTTCAGCATCATCAGTCCTTCCAATGAATGAATATTCAGGACTGATTTCCTTTAGGATGGACTGGTTGGATCTTCTTGCAGTCCAAGGGACTCTCAAGAGTCTTCTTCAACACCACAGTTCGCAAGCATCAATTCTTTGGTGCTCAGCTTTCTTTATAGCCCAACTCTCACATCCATACATGACTACTGGAAAAACCATAGCTTTGACTAGATGGACCTTTGTTGGAAAAGTCATGTCTCTGTTTTTTAATATGCTATCTAGGTTGGTCATAACTTTTCTTCCAAGGAGCTAGTGTCTTTTAATTTCATGACTATATTCACCATCTGCAGTGATTTTGGAGACTCCCAAAAAAGTCTGTCACTGTTTCCATTATTTCCCCGTCTATTTGCCGTGAAATGATGGGACCAGATGCCATGATCTTAGTTTTCTGAATGTTGAGTTTTAAGCCAACTTTTTCACTCTCCTCTTTCACTTTCATCAAGAGGCTCTTTAGTTCTTCTTCACTTTCTGCCATAAGGGTGGTGTCATCTTCATATCTGAGGTCATCTTCGTATCTGGCAGTCTTGATTCCAGCTTGTTTTTCATCCAGCCTGGCATTTCACATGATGTACTCTGCATATAAGTTTAAATAAGCAGGGTGACGATATACAGCCTTGACGTACTCCTTTCCTGATTTGGAACCAGTCTTAATTGTATGATGACTGTAATTAACCAGGTTAATTGTATTGTGAAGTAAATGGAATTTCATGGACGATTTGAGAAACCCAGTGTCTTGAATTCTGAAACTTAGAATTCTACCTCTTCATGTTTGGAAGCTACTTATATTTAGAAGTTCTAAGAGTTAGGAAATGATGTAAAAATTGATCTATTTCACATGTATAAATGTCCTTTGTGTAGTTGCTGGGTTGAAGCATTTAGAACTCCTCTAAGAAAAATCAAGAGAAGCAGATTTTGATTAGAATTTTATTTTAATGCTAGTTATTAGTAGTATTATTAGTTAATATTAGTTATTAGTAGTCCCCCTAAAAATGACATGTAGAATTTAAATGAAGACATTAACAAACAGAATTGTATGTGAATACATTTAGATTCGTTATCATTGTTACTCAGTAGTTTAAATCTGTTACAGATTCACAGCAAGTTGATGACTTTCTTGATGTTCAGTTATATTGATTAAAAAAAGGGAAATTCTGTCCATGATTCTGGTGATTCATACTTAAATATTTTATAGAGTAGCGAAGTTTTGATGGCCTTCACTTGATCCAATATTCCACATTTGGGTGGTAGCAGAAAGTATTAGTTGTGTGTATAGTCGTGCAGCAGAGAGGAATTATTCAGAATATTTTTTTTGTATGTGAAGTTGATTAGAAGTTTGGAAGGAGATGGGACAGTGTCAGGGTTGCTGCTCCCTTGACTTCACATGAAAAGATTCCTTAGAGTCAGGCCAAATACGTCTCATAGCTGTCGAAAGTAGATTCCTTTTTCTTAGACCTGCTACTTTTAAAACGCGAGCTTGTCTTTGAACGTTTATGAGAAAGCCGCAGAGGGCAGGGAAGACTGGGCGCGTTGAAGAATGGAAGTGAGGAGCAGGAAGGCTGCTCTTCGCCTTAGCAGCTTTTAATTTTGAAGCCAGTTCAGATTGGTGGTGAAATAATTGCCTTTATGAAAAGAAGAAAGCATTTTATGGAATGGGACTGGAGTGGGATCCAGAGAATGGGCTTCAGTAGTTCTTTGTCGTAAAATCCAAGGACATGTAAATCTTTGCATGGAATATTAGATATGCAAAAAAATACTAGCATATGTATTTTCTTAAACATAAATTTGTATCATCTAACTAAAGCTCATGGAAAGAAATTCGCAAAATTGACTGGCTGGCTAAGGAGGCTGAATGGACTGGTACCAATTCCAAATACAAGATGTGTTAAGCATAGTTATTTCCTATTATTATTTTATAAGGGACTCAAGG